TCACTTTTTCGAGTAATATTATTGACGTAGCATCCTTCGCCTCTTCTCTCATTGCTATTAAGCTAGATCTACAATATATAAGTGTAATTAGTTTTATCATTAGTAAGTGAATCTTAAATGTACGAAAGGTGGAACTGAAAATTACAGAAATTAAATTGATTAAGCTGCTTTCCGTGAACGCATAAAAAATTGCATAGTAATACATATTTATTTGCTGATTATGAAGGCTGAGTACAAAACAAATAATTAACTAGTTATTATTTTAAAGTTGTACTTATAAAATGCTGATTGGAGGTGGTAATTTGAGAAACGAGTACCTGTTTTATGCTTTATTGAAATATAACGTGAATCAGGTTGTTCGATTCCGCACAAACAAGCTTCAGAGGAGACTAAGCTTCTGTAGATGCTTAAAATCAGAGAAAAGTTTACAATATTATTAAATATCTTTAAATTTAATAATATTGTAAACTTACTTACTTTGAAATTTAACTTTCGTTTAATTTGTAAAACTATAAGAATATCTGAGTCATTGTACATTGGGAAACATGGCCTTTCTTTCATTTGGACTCTTTCTCCTCAATTGTCCACCTTCGGAGATCCAGGCGATCCGAAGCTGACAATTTTGTCTTAGCCTCAAACCGTTTCGAGTGCGTGAAATTCTTATGAAATATTATATAAGAGTTTATTAGGTACCAAAACGGTCTGGTATTCTAAGCTGTCCAAGTGAGATCCTTGTTAGACCTTAACCTAAGGACTTAATTTTGACCAGTCTGTTTGGATGACAGTTACATTTATGGGTACAATATGAGCGTTTCACAGACAGACTCAGCTCGTTACACCGATCATTTATCTACATCTATATTTAATCGGATCACCGATGTTTCCTTTTGAATGTTAGAAACTTCAGGGCAAACTTAATATACTTTCGGGTTATACATATTAACTGTGCTTAGTTAGTTCTCTAACGTCATGCTAATAAAATCATAGCTTACTCCAACATTACTTATGCAGCTGAAAATAAGATTTGCGTGAATCTTAATTTATGCGGGGTCGATACGATTAGAATTTACGACAACTTCAAAGTAAAGATTGCTTTATATTTCTTTTTATACCCTGAACAGGGAATATTAAGTTTGTCACGAAGTTTGTAACACCCAACGAAGCATCGGATACCCTATAAAGTATATATATAAATGATCAGTATGTTGAGCTGAGTCGATTTATCCATATCCGTCTGTCTGTCCGCCTGTCTGTCAGTATATGTATACACGAATTAGTCCCTCAGTTTTTACGATATCGTTTCGAAATTTTGCAAACACCATTTTCCCTTCAAGAAGCTGCTCATTTGTCGGAACTGCTGATATCGGACCACTACAGCATATAGCTGCCATACAAACTGAATGATCGGAATCAAGTTCTTGTATGGAAAACTTTTGCATTTGACAAGATATATTCACGAAATTCGGTATAGATTATTTTCCAAGACAATAATGCAATCTCCGAAAAAGATGTTCACATCGGCTTACTATAGCATATAGCTTCCATACAAAGCGAACGATCGGAATCAAGGGCTTGTGTGGAAAACTTTCGCATTTGACGTCGTATCGTCACGAAATTCGACATGGATTACTCCGAAAAAATTATTCAGATCGGATTACTATAGCATATTGCTTCCATATAAAATGAACATATAGTTACTAAAAGAAATGCACCTGTGAAAGGTATATTAGCTTCCGTTCGAAGTTAACGTTTTTCCTTGTTTTTTTTTTTTTAATTTTTAGTACCTTCTATTAACTAAAATATGGTCATAAAAATCAACAATGACTCAACCTACGCTGAATTCAGTTTAATTGAACTTGTTATAATTGAACTTGAAGTACCCCACATGCATATGTACCTATGTATGTATAAATGCATGAAATATGCAGTTCACTGCATGAGCGCATATCTGTTGTAAATTTACGATAACTTGCACGTTTAGTGGTTTAATTCTAGCTTATTGAACTTGACCAATTTTTCGCAAGCCGGTAGTCAATGCAAACAACGGCGAATGAGTGACTGACAGCTCGTGCAACTGTAAGTGCTTGTGTTGCATTACAGACAACAGCACAAATGCAAGTCATCGGGATTTTCGATTTTTATAATTGAACAAGTGGGTTCGGCTTACCCAGTATATGCATATATTTACTGTAAGTTATTATTGTAATGACTTGAATAATTTTTGCTTATATAATTTTTCTCCAAATTTCATCTCACCGCACATATTCAACTATAGCTAACGCATTCACCCTGTAGACTGGTAGCTCATTGACCCATTTGCTCATTTACGGTAGTTAATATCGCTAAAGGCCAACTTTGTACGTCTAACTTCGAATTTAAATACTGTTTACTTTACACAGCTTCAAACAACGAGCTACGCGTGAGCGCATATTTCTATTTGTTTTAAATTTTCCGTTTAATTAAAAGCAAAATACAATGATATGTTTAATTACAAGCCTATTTTACTATGTACATACATATATAGCCATATAACCTTGTGATTAAATTCTTTAATGTAATACAATATAGCGCAAAACAAGCGTTCTCCAAACCAACCAATTATTGATTTAAAAAAACCGCAACCCTGCTTTAGTCTGCATATGGTACGCAAGATTTATAGCAGAACTGTTACAGCGCCCTGCACTAGAGTCTTGTAAAGTCACGTTTTTACTTCAACTTTGACTTTCAATGTTAAACTAAAGGGTAATCCAAGTAGAGATACTTCCTTAAATAGCTTCCCTCTATGGGGTCTTGAAAAGTTCCGAGAAGATCCGACGTTTTCGATCCCAATTATGTTCAGCGATGAGGCCCATTTCTAGCTCAATGGGTATGTAAACAAGCAAAACTGCTGCATTTGGAACGAAGACCAGACTGAAGATATTCAGGAAAAAATAACGGTTTGGTGTGGCTTGTGGGCCGGTGGCCTCATTGGTCCATATTTCTTCAAAAAAGATGCCGATGAGAGCGTTTTTATTGTTGTTTTAACGGTTATCTAGCCCCCCTTAGGATGGTAAGGATTATTTAAGTCGTCGTCGACGTCATCTGACGGGAGGCCTAAGAAATGTGCTGTGCTGGAAAAAAGGGTGCATGCAAAGAGGTGGGCAGTGTCATGCGAGACTCATTGCACGCAGGACATATGTTCGATATGTCGGAGTCTATTATGGACAAGTAGAAGTCCTTTCGTGGTCCGGAGTGCAGTGTTCTGACAGGTCTGTAGTTTCTTCATCTGTGTTCCACTGCTCCCAGGTGACCATATGGTGTGGCGTAGTTGAGGACCGGCCGGTTGCTTGCCTTGTAAGTTGCCAACAACGTTTCTTTGTCTTTTCCCTATGTGCTGCCGGCTAGCGACTTAAGGATTTCGTGGCGGTTCTATACTTTGGCGATAATCCCGGTCGTATGGAAAGTGAGGAGCATAGACTATCAAATGTTACACCTAAAATCTTCAGGTTATTGACTGTTGGAATCTTGACGCTATCGACTGCAATATTAAACTCAAGTCTATACTCCTTCGTCCAATTCGTGAATTTGGTCGCTGTGGATTTGGTTGGGGAGAGTGTTAGCTTCTGTGCAGAGAAGAAGCGAGAAAAGTCGGAGAGATAGCTGTTTACCTTTGAACACATGTCATCGTTTCCATTGCAACGACGTCAATTTCGTGCAATCATGAGCGTAGGAGGTTATGGAGACTCCCACTGGTGGCTATTGGAGTTTCGAGATGTAGAAGTTAAACAGTAGCGGGTAGAGGACATCAACTTGCGGTACGGATGATTGACGACCGCGCAGGTAGTTCATGGTCCACCTCTTCAGTTCTGAAGGGAATGTAGTTTTTTCGATGTCCTGATGTAGCGTTGTGTGATTGACTTTGTCAAAAGCTTTTAACAAACCCAACGTTACGAAGATCGTAGCGCCATGATGACCGACTATTTGATGCCTGAAATTGAAGCAGTGATCTCGGCGACATTTGGTTCACATCGCATCAATCAATGAATTTATTGAGAGAACACTTCGGTGAGATGATAATTCCATGTTTTAGTCCGGTCGATTGGCCACCAAGATCGTCTGACATCACACTGTTAGACTTTTTCCTATGGGGTTATGTAAAACCTGAAATCTAAAGTCCATTCGGACAATCCCGCTTCATTTCAGGCCTTGGAGCAAACTTCACGGGTATATTTCGAATTCGAAACGTTCAAACGAGTCGTCAAAAACGGTTTAACTCAACGGATGGATGATTTGATGTGGCCACGGCCAACATTTGAAAGAGATAAGTTTCAAAAAATAAATGCCAATGAATGTTCTTTCGAATGATAATTAACATTCTCCATTAAATTTGAAATTTCTGTGTTTTTTTTTTTTTTCTTTAGAAAAGTAGGGAACCTCGAAATGTATCACCCTTTGTATTTAATGCTGTTAAACTAAGCTTTCAATTGCGCATTTAGTTCGATACACATGCTCCAACTCCTTTAACCCGTCTAACAAATAAATTTTCAGAAGATCTGCACAGTAGGTTATCGAAGCGTACTTCTCCTTTGAACTAAAATTTCTGCCTGGCAGTTGTTTACTAACTTATTGTATTTAGTGGTGCCGACGGTGTTCGTATTGAAAGAACGCTTTTTTCTTCACAAAATGGGGCAATTCAACCAGAGAACTTAAAGCATACATATATACATATGCATATATATGCTTTAAGTTCTCTGATTCAACGTGAAATCAGCTCAATAATTTGCAACAGTTGCTCTTTGACCATTTTTTCCTCCTCCATGTAGTTGATGTTGATCACAACATGTATATATCAGAAAACTAGACTCACTACCTTCCTGACCGATGGAATCCTGAGTAAAGTCCACTACTTCGACGGTTCAATGGACATGTGTACCACGGTTTGCTGACAGTAACTAAACGAAGAGTGACTAGTTTTTTCCGCATTTTAATAAAAACAACTTTCATATCATTAATTTGATGAATAGATTTGCCACATCTGCGTTTATTTATATAATTATTAACTTAATTGCAAATAATACAGTTTATTGTTTTACTTCACAAGTATCACGTGTACAAATATTTTACATAAATAATTTTCCCTACAATTTGCTCATGGATTTTTATAAAAAGTAGTCTAATTACATTCTAATTATATTATCACAGGGATTAATTACATGACTAACTATAAACTACATATAAATATTTATAATTAAAGATTGCCGTTAATGGGTGACGAGGTGTTTGCTGTTCAAAGTCAAACTAGAAAATCTTTTGCGCTATTGACACGTGTCACTAAGTAAGGACGCGCCTCGGTGGGACAGCGGAATGTCTTCAATAAAGTAGGTTCATCCATAATACTTTTATTGTCTTCGTCTTCAAGCATATTATTCCAGAGATAATTGGCGCCTGTGAGAAAAGTAATTTAGTAAGGGAAATTTTTTTGTATTGAAAAAAATATAAAAACAAATATAAACACTTAAAAGATATATGCTTATAAAATATTCGATATTTTTTAAACAATTTTTTTGTGAAAACAAAATACATATATTCAAAAACTTACTAATCGCATGACCACGCTGACTCAAATGGAAGCAGTCCTCGGACAGAAATTTGAATTTCATTGCGTCATCGTTACTGGGAAAGAAATCTTCGAATAGTGTAAACGGCTGCAGATTAATGGTGAATGTCTTAAAAAAAATATATATATTTTATTACATTTTCAAAAATTTGTTGGAGTAATCTAAATAAAACTAAATTCATTACGCACCTCCGTATTAAACTCGTCCCTATTCACGATCTCTTTGTCCTTCGCAACCCAATCTTTCATCAGTTTTATCATTTTTACCAATTGCGGCTTGGGCTTACCCACTAAACAAGGGCATTCGAATGACAAGGTCGTATGACAAACGGGTGTTTTCGTACTCAAAGGCACGAGGAAATCCAATTTTGGCGATGGCACTACATTTATCATTAGACGTGGCACATTATCACGTAAATAACGAAAAGTCTTCACCATATTTTCTTCATGCTGCTTGATCGCATCCTCTGGTCGTGGCAGAAAACAGACGTCTGAACAAAAGTCGTTATTACCAATGAGTAGAGTGATAAGCTTCCAATCTGTGGTCATATTCACTTTCGGATCACGTGACAAGCGTTTGACTAGCACTTGCGCTTCGTAAGGTATATCACGTGACATGGCGCCCAACTCAGCGACGTTGAATCTGTGTTCAGAAGTTGGAAGAAGCAATTAATAAACAACAAAAATGTATCTAAACAAAAACATTTGAAGTATAAGTTTATCCAAAAAACTTCACTCACTTCGAACTGCGATCGGTGGAGAGCCCATCTTTCAGCGAGTAGCCATACAAGTTCGGATTGAATTCCTTCAAAATATTTGGCATCGTTAAATACTGTCGCCAAGTGCCTTGCCCACCAATACTCCAGACCATACCTCGATTCTCTACCGTAATGTGTAATAAATTTGTCGCGAAAATACCGTTACCAGCTGTTAGTGAATCACCCATAGCACCAACGATATCTATATCACCGGGTCGTAAACGATGCACCGATGTCGGGCGTGTTTCACTACGTTTTCCGGGTCCATTCAGCGCATCGCAGAAATTCACCAACGAACGCGCGCGTGTGTTGAGATTTTGCGTTTTCTAAAGAAAGAGGAAATTTAAACTTCCGAGTGACACAATTTTTGTAACTACTATTCACTTACGCCCATATCGCGCACAAGTTGTCGATTATCCGGATTGTCACCTGAACGCCCGGCAAAATTTAAGCCAATCAAACGTAGGGGTCGATACAAGTTTCGGAATGTGACATCCAACGAAGTGCGTTGTGTTATTACAGGGTGACAGTTGTGACACAGTAGTGCACAGAGCAATAGGTGGTATTTAATTGGTGTGCCCTGCATTTTGTATGTGGTTGTAATTGAGCTGGAATTCAAATATATATTGGAATTATAATCCTGTAATTAAATAATGTGATTTATACCTATAAATATATGTATATGTATGAAAATCCTAAAAACTTAGAGAGTGTGTAAACGAACAAACAACTTACATAAATCAAGTAGAATAATTTAATAAAATAAAGATACTGAAAATATTGGAATAAAATGTGTTCAAACCCTAAACAATCGATTTAAAAATGATACAAAAACAGCTTCAATTACATGGGGACTGGGAAACGGAATGCGATTAGGATTGTAATCTTCAGATCTACATTTAATCTTAACTCATAAAATGTTAAAATATCCCAACAATTAAAGCATCTCTATCATAGTACTAAAGGGCGTTAACAAATTGCCTATTCCATATTGAATGTAAGAGCCAGGGCCGGATCCACGGGGGGAACTGAGAGAGAGAGAACACTGAGATGGCAGCATTTTTTTCCCATAATCTGAACAAATTGCTTTGATTGGAAGGATATTCAGAGAATTTTCGAAGTTTCAAGACCGAAATGTAACACTGTTTTAGCTAAATTCTTGGGCAGAAAAATTGTGCAGCTTTGTAAGAAAAGGCAGGTACAAAGACATGATGACGTTCTTCAATTCACTGTCACCCTTCCAGAAATCGTTCAAATACTGACAAAAATAAGCGAATGGAAGAATATAACGATTGCAGCAAAAGCGTCAAATTTAGTCACAGTACTGTGCAACTTCAGATTTATTATTGGAATTTTTTGTTTCAGTGATGTTTTGTCACTGACGCAGCCACTTAGTGTTCTTCTCTTATGAATGGTCTATTCATAACAACATTGGGTGCAACACTGAACATGCGAAGAATGAACGCTGATCATCACTTCAATGCAATTTTTTCAAGTGCTACATAGATGGTTTAAAAATTAGGTGTTGAAGTGGAAACCCCATAATATGTGGTCATCAGAGTCATCGAAACAATCAACCATCTCATTGCAGGGATTCTGCATACATTCCACTCATTGACACGGTTATGCAAGAGTCAGCTGTTACCAAAACTTAACCTAAATTTGGAAGAAAAGGATTTAACTGCACTCATTGAATGCCTAATTAGA